TCTGTTTTACCATGTTCTGTCTGTACTGTGGCTTCCTGACCCGTATGTAAATTTCTCATGAGGACAGTGAGATGTTCTGGGATTCCCATTTTTCTGAACACTTTCCACATCTTGACATGATTAATACAATCAAAGGCTTTTCTATAATCGATAAAGCACATGCTGACCTCTTTTTGGTATGCCAGCTGAGCTGACTGGATATGTAAAACTCCCACCAGCTCCAACCGGCATTTTTACAGGTTGAGGATGATGGAATCAATCTTTTAAAACCTTTACTGAAATTAACAATGAATTTGATATTTTGCTTTACAATACAAAAATTTATGTTTTCCAACACAATCTGTTTCTTAATGGCAAGGAACCCTTACATTATGTTACAAAACAATTATTTGTAGTATTTTTGACCAATAGTTCTGACCAATAGCTGTTTTCTAAACATGCTATGAAGCACACTTGCTTGCTAGACAGGCTCAGGTGTTCAATATGCTTCATGAGGAAGAGATAATCTCAGTTGTATACACAAAAGGGATTATCTGAGTTCCTCCCTTGGCTGAAAAAAGAATAAGTTTTCCTTTTTTGAAAACAAAGGGAGAAATGGTTTAAACAGTAGAAATTATCATCCCCCCATACAGTCTCTGATAAATGGTTAGACACTCTAGGAATCTGGGGAAAGTCCAGCTAATTTGAAGCAGAGAAAACTACAGATGTGGCCAGAAATATTGGTAATCCCTCACTTTTCCCCAAAGAATCCCAATTTGCCACGAAATAAGTTGAAATTGACACAAGTAAATGGCATCAACCATTCTTTATTCCATAGTCCATAGAGTAGACACTTTGCTTTTAATGTATGACTTCACATATTCTTGCAAATAATAAAACAAACGAAAATGGCAAAGACACATGTTATTGAAAATAGGGATGCCAATATAATAATGCCTTTATATAAATCAATGGTGCAACCACATCTGGAATACTGTGTGTAGTTCTGGTCACTGCACCTCAAAAAGGATATAGTGGAGTTAGAGAAGGTTCAGATGAGGGCAACTAAGATGATAAAAGGGCTGGAACAGCTTCTCTATGAGGAAAGGTTATGTCACTTGAGGCTTTTTAGTCTAGAAAGGAGGTGAACAAGATTGGACATGACTGAGTTGTACAACATTATGCATGGTGCGGATAAAGTGGACAAGGAGAAGCTATTTTCCCTTTCCCCAAATACCAAACCAGACATTACCCAATGTCATTGAATACTGGAAGAATCAGGACAGAAAAAAATATTTTTTTACACAATGTGTAATTCAACTTTGGAATTCACTAGCATGAGATGTGGTGCTGGCTATCAGTTTGATTGGCTTCCAAAAAGGGTTGGACCGATTAATGGAAGTAATGGGGATCAATGGCTATTAGCCTTGATGGCAGTGTGACTGATTCTGAAGTCCATCTCCTGTGAGAGTAGTAGGCTTCCTTGTACAGTTGGTTGGCCACTGTGAGAACAGACTGCTGGACTAGATTGCACTAGGGGTCCAATCCAACAGGACACTGGTTATGTTCTCATATGAGTTGCATGCCAGAGAATGTACTTCTGAGCCAGAAAATCAGGTATTGGCCCTCAGATCAG